CCAGTACAAGGCTTTGGCGTCACAAAAGCTTGGGTGTTTGTCCAAGGATACAGGGACAGAGTGAGTGGGCCTCTCAGAATTCCATTGTCTTTTGAGAGCTAAAACTTCAGCGAGGAGTTGGGGGCCTGTATTCATCTTCTGAGTGTGGGGTTTGAGATGGAAACCACCCTTGGGGCCTTTGGGAAGCCCCTCGGTGGGCCCTGACACCTGGGCCCAGAGCAGAGCAGTTCCTTCAGACACACGGGCCCAAGATGCTGAGAGCCGGTGCTTAAAGCCAAGGTGGGATGGGGAATGTACTGTCACTGGGCGGCCAGAGGAGCTGCCACTGAGGGTGGGTGCCCCAGGTCCCTGGGGCCTGCACCAGAGCCTGCCAGGGTGAGGGCAGATCGGGCTCCCTGAGTGGGAGTGGGCAGGGGGGAGTCTGTCCCCTCCCCACAGTGCTGAGCCAGGCCTCAGGCCTCAGCCCCTCACAGCTCTGAGCACTTGATGTAGTGTCCAGGAACTCCGGGCCACCTGGAGCAGTCGCCCCACTAGGAAGCAAAGGGAGGCCACCCTGCAGGGGCCACGTGCAGATAGACGGGCAGCTGGCACAAAGCAAATGCCAGATATTTCAGGACAGACGTACTGGGTTGAATAGTGTCCCCCCAAAATTCATGTCCACCAAGACCTGTGAGTGTAACCTTATTTGGAAATAGGGTCTTTGCAGATGTAATTACATGAAGTTACATGAAGATGAAGTCGTCCTGGAGTAGGGTGGGCCCTAAATCCAATATAACTGGTGTCTTTGTAAGAAGAGGAGAGACACAGAGATACACACCGCAGGGCAGGAGGCCACATGAAGATGGGGGCAGACACTGGAGTGACATAGCCACAAGCCAAGGAATGCCCAGGGCCCCCAGACGCTGGGAGAAGCAGGAAGGCCCCTCCCCCAGAGCCTCTGGAGAGACGGTGGCCCTATGGAGACCTTGTTTTAGACTTGGGGCCTCCGGAACTGTGACGGAATGAATTTCCATTGTTTTAAGCCACCAGTGTGTGGTTCTTTGTTGTGACAGCCCCAGGACACAACAGAGACACCCATACCTTTCACCTCTGTAACAGGACACATGTGATGTGACTTAGCGCTGTATTTAAATAGATCCACTAAAAGCTATAATGGCAGAAAATACAGTCGCAGGGCAGGCAAGTGATACGCATAAGGTAAGACCAGGTGAAGGACTGAGGCATCCACCCAGAGATGCCTAATGTCACCTAATGTCACAATAGATGGGAATAAGACATCTTGCAGGGTTAGAGAGGCACTGCAGGAGGCCGGCTGCATGAGGGTCTCGGTCCCTTTCCTGCTGGGGAATCCCAGCCCCAGCACACCCAAGATCTCAGAAGATGCCAGGTTGGCGCAGAGCCCTTGGGATGCTGTCGGCCCATCACCCCCACCTGCAGGTGAGGACACTGAGTCGCAGCCCACCCCACGCCACCTGCTCCCCACCCCCCAGTCTCTGTCAGCCAAACATGTGCCAGCCAGCGGCACCTCCCCAGCGGCTCCCCGTGCTGTCTCCGGGACATAAGCCAACCTGAGCTATCCTGGCACGTGTGGTGCCGCTGCCCCCTCCAGCCTCTGCACGTGCGACCCTGCTGGCCCCTCCTGCTGGTCCTCGGGTATCAACACGAGCATCACTTCCTTCTGGAAGCCTGCCTGATGCTCTTCCTCCCAGCAACGAGGGGACAGAGGCAGGAGGAGGGAGAGACACCCACATAATCAAGTGAACACTCATAAGGAAAGTAGACAGAGGGTGCCGTGGCTAGGAGCACGGTCAGTAAGTCTCTCAGATGACATCCAGCAAGACCCAAATGACAGGAGGGAGCTGATATGGTCAGAGAAGACTTCGATGCCATTCACAATCCCCAAGCCCTTAAGAGCCCTATAGGGCAGGCCACGGGTGTGGACGGCTACGGGTGTGGACGGCTGCGGGTGTGGACAGGGAAACTCCACCGTCCCAGGCCTGGCCTGCTTTCTTCAGGCAGTGTCCAGGCCACATCTGGCCCCTTAAAGGACTGTGGGGGCAAGTCTTGGACTCAGCATGCAGGCCCTGTGGTCACTGCTCCTGGCTGTACTGGGCCCACCAGGAAGGGCATTCATCCCGAGCACAGGGCCAATGAGGGACCAGATGTCACCTGGATACAATGCAGGCTGAGCCACTCACAGAGAGCTGGGATGAAAGGGCAATGCTGGGCTGCAGCTCTAAACCTCTAGCAGTTAGTCTCCTCCCCTCTCCCCTGCCTCAGTCTCTACCACGGGTGTGGGTGGGCGTGGGGATGGGGGTGGGAGTGGGCTGGTAACAGCAACAGCGGACACGGCATCAAGCTAACCATTCACCCAGTGTTGTTCTGACTCTCCCCGCGGCCATTCTACTGATGGGGAAATGGAGGCACAGACACTTGCCCAAGGTTGTCCAGCTAGAATCAGAGCAGCTGTCTGGCTCCCGGTCTTACCAGGAATCTCCACCCTTTAACCCTGCTACCCTCTACACAGCCCACTGGCTGTCAAAAATGCCAGGGAACTACCTCGGCATATGTTGTGGGTTACACAGTGGCCCCAAAAGTTACATTCAAGTCCTAACCCCTGGTGTCCGTGCATGTGGCATTTGGAAATAGGCTCTTTGCAGATGTAATCATATCAAGAGAAGCCATTAGGATGGGCCTAATCCAATGACTTGTGTCCTTATAAAAAGAAGAGACACAGAGACACGCATACGGTAAGACAGACTAGGTGGACTGAGGCACCCACCCTGGGACACCTTGGGTAACTTTTAAGGTCAAGGGTTCAGATCCCTGTACCAGCCAGCTGCAACGAAAAACGGTAAGACAGACTAGGTGGACTGAGGCACCCACCCTGGGACGCCTTGGGTAACTTTTAAGGTCAAGGGTTCAGATCCCTGTACCAGCCAGCTGCAACGAAAAAAAAAGGCCAAGGCATAGGTTGGAGCGATGCAGCCACAAGCCAAGGAACACGTGGAGCTGGGAGAGGCAGGAAGGATCCTCCCCTGGAATCTTGGGACGGAGGCTGGTCCTGTAGACACCTTGATCTTGGCCTTCTGGCCTCCAGAACTATAAAGAATACATTTCTGTTTTTTAAGCCACCCAGTTTGTGGCAGCCACAGGAAACAAATACAGCATTATTAACACCGTTACAAATGGAAAGGCTTTGGGTGGATGTCACCCACCCTCCCACTAAATCACTAAGGGACCCCAGGGAAAGACCCCACTGCCACACCTCCATCAGATCCCCCAAGGACCAGGCCCAGCTCCCTTGAGGGTTCCACCCACCTCGATGCCACCCACACCAGCCCCCCAACATCCAGGCATGGCCAGATCCAATGGCTGCAAATGGATTTGAGACTTCATTAAATAGGAGGAAAGAGGGCAGGCCCATGGCGCATGCTGGAGAGTGTGGTGCTGATATCACCAAGGCCACGGGTTCAGATCCCTATATAGGGATGGCCAGTCAGCTCACTTGGGAGAGCGTGGTGCTCACAACACCAAGCCAAGGGTTAAGATCCCCTTACCGGTCATCTTCAAAAAAAAAAAATTAAAAAATTAAAATAAATAAATAAATAGGAGGAAAGACCCTCAAACTTGAAAAGGCTTGGGTTCTTTTCTTTTATAGTTTCTTTTGCTGTTTATGCTTCCAGCTCCAGCCCTCCCCCACCCTCACCAAAAGCAGAGCACCGTCATTACAGAAAAGTCAGAAAATCCAAATAAGGCAAATAGGAATCCAGGCACACCCCCTCCCAAAACACAGAAGGCGGGGCCAAGGCTGAGCTCACCCGTGGGGGACCCCCAGAGGTCTGTAACCGACCTTATGTCCTTAACCGCTCCATCGGGAGGCTTCAGATGGTTTCCAACTTTTCCCCATTCTAAACCGCATACGACGGGGAATAATTTGCTGAGAAATTCATTAGCAATTGCTTCAAAAGCAACCTCACCCAAAGAAAGGGAAAGTTTCCGAAAAAAGACACAAAAGCGAGGAAGACCCATAATAGCACCGTTGAGCATAGAAACGAACCAGCCTCAAAAGTCCCGGCGTGGGGAATACTATTTTCAGCCAGATTGGATGCGTTTCTGCAAACTCTGTGATGTGGAAGGGATAAGGCGGCTCCCCATGTCCTGAGTGCGAGCACAGGACACAGGGGCAGGGCCGCCCGTTGCCCAGCCCCGCAGCTCCCGGGCGGCCCGGGCCGACGGCGGGGTCCGTGTGGCTGCTCGGACACCGAGGGCTTGGGCGTGAGGGGAGAGAGCACGGGCAGCAGGCGGTCCCACCGTGTGCGCGGACGTGCCCAGCCCTGACCTTCGCGTAGGAGGTGGCCTCCAGCTCGGGATGGGGCGAGCGGGAGCCAGGCTCCGGGTCCCACAGCGGGATGGGGGTGGGTAGAACCGGTCGCAGGCGGAGGGCGCCGCGTGCGAAGCCCCGGAGGCAGGGGCTGCAGGAGGAGGCAGGCACGGGGGATGGGGTGGCTGGGGGTCTGAGGACCGCGGGGCACCGAGGACCCAAGGCCGGTCGGAGCGCAGGTCCGGCGGCGCCACTCCACTCCCGGGGGAACTAAAGTGAGAGAACAAGGCAGGCGCGGGAGAAAACCCAGGTGTCAGGGCCCTCGGCCAGCGACCTACTAGGACGTGACGCCCGTCGGGGGTGGCGCCCCCGGCCGGCCCAGCGCCCTCCACGTGGTCGCCACCGCGCCGGCTCCTTTAAGAAGGAGGGAGGAGGCGGGGCCCCGCTGTCTTAGTGGGGGTTACGTCACGCGCCCGATTTGCATACGGCTTGCGGTCGGAGCGCGGCGCGGTGCACCGCCGCCTGGGCGGTTTCCGTTGGGTTGTCGTCCGCGGGTCTGAAGCGTAATTGACTTGCGCCGCGCTCGCCCAATCGCAGCTCGCCTTGCTCGCGGAGGGTGGAGCCAGGCAGCCCGGCCAATGGGAGGCGGCGTTGTTGGCGGCCACGGCGGCGCAGCCCTGAAGCGAACGGAGCCAGCGCCGGCGCAACTGCCGCAGGAGGAGTGAGGTGCGGGGCGCGCTGCGCCGGCAGGTAACGGCGCGCTGGGCAGGCCGGGGGGCCGGGGATTATGATTTTTAAGTACTTTACCATAGATTATCCCATCTAAACTTTTTTTTTTTTTTTTTTAAAGATGACTGGTAAGGGGATCTTAACCCTTGACTTAGTGTTGTCAGCACCACGCTCTCCCAAGTGAGCCATGGGCCGGCCCTATCCCATTAAAACAGACTTTCAAGAGTAAGCACAGCCAGTCTTCTGTCTCTGCTGAGTAGCTGGCGGAGCCCAGGCTGAGGAACGTTGCTCAGGCCGTGGCGGCTCCTGGCCCGCTCCGCGTCCCTTTCTCCGGCTGTCCGAGGGCGGGCAGGCGGACCACGCGCAGCGTCCGGTCTCCGGGTCCGGCGGGACTGGAGCCTGTGGCCCCGGACGCGGTCGGTTCTCGGTCGGGCGCGCCGGGCCGCGCGTGGTCGGTCTCACGTGCCCCCCGCTTCGCTTTCTCGCGCCGCGGTCCCTGCTCCACCTCCCGCAGTTGGGGCGCGCTGTGGAAATCCTCTGGCGTCAGAAACGTAGGAGCGGGCAGGTTGAGTCGCTGGACCTGGAGTCGGCGTTTTTAGGGGACTGCCTTCCCGCGGTAGTGACCACACCTCCGAACGACCAGCTACCTCTGCTCCCTGCACCCCGGGGACTCCGCAGCTCTTCGCACGTATTGACCCATTTCATAGTAGCTTAATAAACTGAGATAGATACTGTTGTTTTTCCACTGAACTACTCAGTAAACTAAATATGAGGACTTGTAAAAATTGACAAAGCCTGGATTAAAACCCAGGCGGTTGTGACTTTGCCCAGATTGACTGCTTTTGAAGAGAGAATGGAAGAAGTTGTGGTGAGGAATTATGTTTTTATTATTGCGCTCAGACCAGCCGAACTCTAGCTTATGTGGGTTTGATCTGGTTGGTCGATGTGTTTCTTCTCAGAATTCTGTCATTCCATACAATGCTAAATGCTGCCCCTGGTAAAATATGGGGATTATTTCAGACTAGGATGAGCGACTGCCGGTGGAATAGGTAATATGCAAGTATAAAATGGACTTTAGATAAGAGAAAGTGGTGATAGAATCAGGATGTACTCCAGAGATTAAATGAATGGCCAAAGAAGAGGGAGATGACTTAAAAATGAGTTATGTAGTATAAGGCAGACTTGGCAGGAAAAAGAAGCCACAGAAAATGAACTTTTCAATTTATCAGCTACTTCCTTAGTTGTTTTGGGACAAGAAAAAATGTTTTTGGAAAACAAACAAACAAAAAACTACGTGACAGGGCATCTCAGTTTTCATCTTTGGAAGGTAAATTATCCTATTTATTCTGAGATTTGAAAGGATCAATACAAGATAAGAACTTTTTGCTCAGTAAAAATACTATTGTAAAATGTAAGTTCTTATAGAATTATAGTCACAAAAGGAGCTCCTTTTTTTTTTTTTTTTTTTAAGATGACCGGTAAGGGGATCTTAACCCTTGACTTGGTGTTGTCAGCACCACGCTCACCCAGTGAGCAAACCGGCCATGCCTATATGGGATCCGAACCTGTGGCCTTGGTGTTATGAGCACCGCACTCTCCCGAGTGAGCCACAGGCCGGCCCAGGAGCTCATTTTTTAAATGAGATAGATTTGGGAATTATAAACGTCCCAAGTTTACTTAGGAACATTTTCAGTAGCATTTTAAGGTTTTTTTCCTCATGCTGTGTTTTCATGAATCATCTTAATGCTTTAGTCCTGTCTTAAATAGCTGTTATTACACATACATTTGCAGTCTTTTTTTTTTTTTTTAACCTGGTTGGCAAATGTTCATTCATGATGTCTACAGTTATCCGTGCCTTTGTATCATACATCTAAACACTTCTTTTGTGAATTTTGTGTTATAAGCTTTGTGTCCTGCACTGTTTTTCAGATTAAATATATAATAGTAATTGGAGAAATTGGTTGAATTCTTCAGAATAGCTGGTTTTATGATTTTCAGGTTTGATAGCTGGTAAACTGAATTCTGAAAAAAACGCATATGTTTTAGGATGTTGTCCTCAAAATGTACCAGGGCATTGTGGTGTTGTGAATTGGCCATTTAGATTAATTATCAGGCTCTTCTGTGGAATTTTGAGCTTAGAGATTTTTACCTGTATGAGGTAGTTCATAGTTTTATAGAGATTAAGTACTTAGAGATGGAAGGCATTCATACCACATTACAGTCTAATTTTGTACTTGAATCTTTAATTAAAATATTTCCATTATCTGTCAGGGTTTTTAGTAGCCTCATGTTATTGAGAGCGTTTTAATTCCCTGTGTTCACTGTTCCCAGCTAAGTGTTGGGATTGAAATCTTTTTCCATTTTTCTTCTTTTGAGCAGTTTTGGCATAATGGGGTTCAGAATTACTTATTTTTGCAGGTGCTTTTCTTCCCCCCTCCTCCCCCTTTTTTGGTTGTCTGCAGTTTAAAAATTATTTTGATAAGTTTATGTTGTACTTCCAAAACCATAGCCAGAGAACATAAGTTTTTGGTTTGATTTGGAAGAAAAGTATCCTGTGGGCAAGGGGATGATTTAAATTCCCAAAGCCTAAGGGCCATGAGCTAGCTGTATGAAACAGGCAGATTCTGTTGCTGCTGGGAACCAGTCCTCCCAGTGACGTCCTATATTTGAATGATAAGGCAGCAGCAATGAGCTTGTTGGGTGTTTGGTCTGGAGCTGCTAGCAAAGGAGTGTTTACTTTTTTGTTTAAAGTGTTTTAGGCATCCGGAATAAAAGGCTGATATTACTTAGTTTGACTCTTCTACTGCTGTGGTGATAGGAAGTAGCTGATGCGGAATCTATACAGGAAACCTCTTCTGGCCTCAGCTTACTTTGCATGGGGCCTTCTCAGTTAGCAACTTTGTGCCTTCCTAAACTGCAGTTGTGAGATTTGTCTTTGAACATGTAGTTTGTAACTAGAAAACCCTATTGATAGATAGTGAAGAATTTTGTTTGACTGTTATAAAATTTTAAAGAAATAGTTTGTGATGACATAGATTTGTTTTCATTTGACAGTCATTGGTTTTCCTCCCTGCCTTCTTAAGAGCAAGTAGGGCTGCTATACTTCGTTTGACATTGAATTTTAAATTTTGTGATTATTTAGTAACAGGAAAGGCATTATATTTTTGTAGTATGAAAATGACAAAAGATCACTTTGTAGACTTTACCTTTTGATCTTGACCACTCACTGTGAGCCTTAAGTTTCCCCTTACAAGTGTATTCTGTCAGCTATTACAACTAAATGTGCTTCCATTCCGTGTCTTTGGGACTTTTTTTTTAATGTGGGTATTTTATCATTATCCAAAAAAGCCTGTTCAAAAACAAGGTGAGTTGATTTCTGATTAATAGTTTTGTGGTAGAAAGATCGACTGTACACTTTATTTATGTACAAAGGTTATAAGTATTGTGATTTAAAACAGTACATATTTACCCAGTTATTGCAAAGTAACTTTCAGTGCTTTGCATCTGCTTATTCATTGGGGTCTCACACTGAATAAATCAGTCAAAAGGCTTTGCCCTCATTTCTGCAGTGGGAGACAAATAAATTAGATGGTGGTAGGTGCTTTTGAAGAAAAAAATGGAGAGGAGTAGGGACTTGGTGGTTGCAATTTGAAGTGGGGTGGAGAGGGAAACGCCTTACTGACAAAGTGACAGGACCTTTACTGGATTAAGAAAACTTTTAAGTGTTTGCCTCATGAAGTCATATACTAATGAATTATGGAGAAGAGTGGGGGAGAGGGAGAAGACACTGTGCCTCGAGTAGAAGTGGAGTGTTGGTTAAGGAGAGGAAATCATATTTTACTCTCATCCTGAAACTTGGGGGCTTGGCCTCCAGCAAGTCTCTGAGGAGATAGCCCAGTATTGTCTGGTGATAGTTACTTGAGTCGATCACGTAAGCAGATATGACTGAGGACATGTCTCTACCCTGTGTCTTCAGACTGCATGGGAAGGGCTAAGGTGTGTGTGGGGTCCCCCGTGCCATAATGTATACAGGTAACACACAGGCAAATTGTCACTCAACAGCAGTGAATTAATGAGTTAACTAAGCAGAGATTTTTCTGGCCCTTTACCTCATGCCAAGTCCTGTGCTGGGCCCTGGGACTTCTGCGTTGAGCAACTAGACAGGCTCTCTGCCCTTGTGGAACATGTTTTTAGTGGGAAGACAAATGTATTTGTTCATTGTTTTTTTTGAACATTATTATTATTATTATTATTATTATTTTTAAAGATGACGGGTAAGGGGATCTTAACCCTTGACTTTTTTTTTGAACATTATTATTATTATTATTATTATTTTTAAAGATGACGGGTAAGGGGATCTTAACCCTTGACTTGGTGGTGTCAGCACCACACTCACCCAGTGAGCTAACTGGTCATCCCTATATGGAATCCGAACCCATGGCCTTGATGTTATCAGCACCACACTTTCCCGAGTAAGCCAAGGGCCGGCCCTTTTTTTGAACATTATAATGAAAAGTTTCATGTTTGTCAGGAACAGAAAAGTACTAATCCCCTATGCCTATCACCTAGCTTCAACAATTACCTATTTGCCAGTCTTGGTTCATCTGTAAACATATGTGTGACTTAAAACACTTTTTTATTTTAGTTTTAATTGGCAAATAGTAATTGCATATATTATATGTGATTTTTTTCTTTTCTGTTCTTTTTTTCATAGCAAGCAATGCTTTATTAAAAGAGGAGACAGACTTATGCTTAAGGGGAGTTGTAGCTACAGTAAAGTTAGCGCCCCGAGGGGAGCTGTTCAGGGTCTTTTATAGGGAAAGGAGTTAAGGGGTGCAGGCCAGTATCATTGGAGGTGGTCCATCCTGTTCTTCCTGGTCGTGTCATGGGTGCATGCTCAGTTAGGGCTTTGGTCCTTGTGCCTGCTCAATAGGTTTAGAGTTAATAGTAATTGCATATATTACGGGTAATTTTTTTCTAATTAAACTTTTCAATAAATGCCAAAAGATGAAGGAGGTGCA